CCTCGTGGAAGCGGGAAGACTTTCCATTGTTAACACTTTCACTGACATGCACATTTAGGTCAATCAAGCCTTACCGCATATGTATAACGCACGAAGTCTACAATATTATCGGACATAGGCTAAACGAAGCGATGCGTGAAAACTGCATATATCGTGATAGGCATTGAATGGAATGTGACGGAGGGGGAACGATGGATGGGACTAAGAAGGCATGAGAGGCCGAAATAAGCTAGGGAACAGCCGGAACTTGAATCTGGGCCTTCTGATCCCCGGTCAGGAATGCTACCATTACACCACCGAACTCGAAACATACAGTCGTGCCCCTCGATGCCATCTTCATCCATCACAGTATTTACACCCCAGTGTTTGACCACGCTGATGCGACTCTCTTAGGAAGTGGATCTTGTGCGTACACCATAAAACACTAGTAACAGTTCTTCATACGGGGAGATGTTGATGGAATGTTTGAAAAGAGTCAGGTTAACCCATTATGCTGAATTCTCACTGGCTAACTACTGGAGACTGGCAAGCAATCAGGGCGTTTCCTGTAAGTGAAGGATTACATACTGTGGAAATGTCCGAATTCGTAGGTACGCGTGCTTCAGGGTAATATCCTAGCCTAGGCATTAATCTCGGGTAGGAATAGTGTAGAAATGAGCATTTCATTCATATGTTTCCAGGAACGTGTCGGCCTATCCTAACATCCACATTGCTTTAGAATATGACGGGGTGTTTCGTACTTCATGTGACCGAGGGGCCTAGAAGCTTCAGCTTTACCAGGTCGCAGGCATAGCAGTTGTGATACCTGCATATGAAAACATTTGTCTACCTTCAGCTCTGAAACAATGTATGTACTATTTAGGACGTCGCTTCAGGGTAGCAGAGGTCAACAATTTGAACCACTAAATAGTTGAAGTTAGGTGTGGCGTGACTGCACTGTCCCGTAGGCGGCTTGAGGGCATTAATACCAAGAAATACGGGAGGCAGCGTAAAGCTGTTAACTTCAGAATCTTATGAGGCTGTTGACGCTACGCGACGAGCAGCGCGTGTACGCTTCAAACCTTCATCTCACATTCGAGTTGCGTTGGCTGGGAAACCCAGTATCATTCCACCCGTTCTGCACGATCTCAGCATTGAGTGCGGGAGGCTCTGCCGACCATTGCCGGGCTGATCGATTCGGGGCCTGATTTGCAGGACTCGATCGACGATGAATATTCGGTGTCAAAGTAATTTTGCTGGGGGCTTTCCCCAAGTGTTGCCAGTCGTCCACAAAGCAACTCGCGGGGAATTCCTATCAAAACGAGCCCATTGTGACCATTGTCCCGTGCACTTCATTTGGCAGAGAGCATTTTTGCTGTTCAAGAATTTCATTTTACAACATCGGAACACTTCCGCGTGTGCAGAACTGTCAAAAGAATTCTCCGTGCATTTACTGGTCAATTGTGTCTCGGGCTATTTGGTCATCGAGCTATTGGACAACGTCGAAGGGTCTGCGGTGGCGAAGTGGGCACCTATCATGCCATTCTATGTTCCACCAATGAGCTGCCCGTTTGGGCAATGCGGACGCGTCTCAAGTGGATGTCCTGTCCCCGTTCAATGATTTGACGGCTTTCCGTTAATTCAGCTGTGGTAGCCTGATGCGAGTGGCCTACGAGCCCCACGCCTTTCAAGGCCACAGGCTTAGCGGAATATGAAGAGATGCGTGCCAATAGGATATATGGTACCGATGGGAATTGCTTCCATGAAATTTCTAAGTTGGCTTGGGAGTAGACTAATTCAATTTAGGTGGGAAAAGATTTGAAGCATGACTAGAATCAGTTTTAAAAAATTGCCATGAGTGGGGGACTTTCGAGAGAGCTCTTTCAGTGCCTGTGTGTGATTGACGGTTTGAGTCCACTCTTCTCTATCATTAGCTCTATGGCCTAACAAATTGCACTTGATGCAACGTGTTTTCTGACGTGCATAGCATCTATCAACCGTGTCCCCAGGTCTTTGACCAAAAGGACAGAAAAACTTTGACAGACTCCTGGATCTGCCTCGAGTAAATCACCTGGAGGGTGGACGGTTTTGTCGCTACCCTTGGACTCGAACACGCCCCTTATCTCAAACAGATCTATCGTCATCGATGTGAGCTGTCTCATCTGAGAATTCATATCCTGATCACGTTGTTTCGCATCCTCTTCTAATCTACAAATGCGATTTCTCAAATGTTCAGCCTGTCAGAGATGAAGATTGCATTTGTAGTTGGGTAACTGACGCTAGTTTTGAGGATGATTAACAGAAACTGTATAATGAGGGCAAAAATTCTGATTTTCAAGAATCGGGCCAAGAAGTACCTCTGCTGCTTCAAGATATTGAGCTTTCACCAGTGGAGCCATGAAGAAGATAAAGTAGAGTCTCCCCCGAAAAAAAATGAGCTAGGTCAACAGGCCATCAAAATTCCAGACAACACAATAAAATACTCCCTCTGTCCAGAAATGATTGTCCTGTTTCCCATTTTTATTTGTCCAGAAATGATTGTCCTGTTTCTGGTTTTCGACTCTTTACTAAAGAAGAACGCGCCTGATGGATTGGCAGACACTTCGACTAACGACTCTTGGCGACTATAGATTTTGTAGTTNGAGAATTTCCATTGATGTAATTTTGGACTAATCGGTGTGGTTCAAAAACTCTTACAAATAAACATTTTTCGGCTACCAAAACTGCACCTTAAAAGGAGTCCAAATGCTCAAATCTATTTGAGCTATAAAGGACACCAAAGACTATTTTGTTACATAAGCAGAATTTATTAATGCCCCAAGTCAGCCTTAATTTTCAAGAAAAAGTGAAACAGGACTATCATTTCTGGACAGAGGGAGTATATATTAAGGAATGGTCGCCATGGCTGGATGTATAAATATATACCATTAAGTTTCACTTGGCCAACAATGAACAACAAATATATATATGAACACCGTTGCTACCAGTTGTCGTGTGGAGGAGCCTTAAAAGTGGACTGTTAACGTTAACTGTAGGCCGAAAGCAAGGGGAAGGTATATAGGGTAAGGTTAATCGGAGGCAAAAAGGACAAGCAGTCTAAGACCGATGACAAATTAAGCGGTTTTCAAGCAACTAGGAACAACAAGTATTTAACTAAGGTTATATTAAATAAGAAACGGAATAGGAGAAAAGAAACGGAATTCGCCCTCTTCACTACTCCTACAGTCCTCCCTCCTGAGGGAGGACTGTAGGAGTAGTGAAGAGGGCGAATAGGTCCTCGGCAGAATCGTTGAGCAAGTTCTTGGAGACTCTTTCCCGGACGTATAGGTCTCGAGCGCAAAACGTTGTACTCGAGCACAAAGCGAGGAGCGAGAGATTGGAACACGTGTACAGACGTAGGCGGAAGATGAAGGGCGGCGTGACCGGCTTGTCACACCCCCAAGAATACAATGGAGGGCTACGCGGGCCCATCCAGGGCCGCGAACAAAATAATGCCCCGCATTACTATATGGTTATATTGGAATTTTTACTCGTGACATGTATGCGACAGAGAAGGAAGAGAGTGGAAGTGTATGTGTGTGGTGAAAAGCCTGTTTTGACATGAGCCCAAGCCCAAGTTCATTTTGCTACTTTGCAGTGCCCACAGTGACACTAAGGTTGGTACACCACCGCCGCATGAACGAGAAATGCTCTAAAGGGATCAGAAGAAATCTGATCCGCCAGAGATAAGTCCCGAAGTGAAGAAGCCTGGTGCCGAGCGTGAGGGTTGCTACCGTGTACTTTTCATTGTTTGGGTATGGAAAAAGAGTCGTCGGATCTGCGAGTCAGTACCACAGTCTTTTTTTTCTGTTTCATGCCCATTGTGACAAAGACCTACCAACGAAGTTTTGGGTGTGGTTCACTGTTATGTACTTCCATCCCTGCTCGTCCAAGTTTGAATATCCCCGCTAGCAGTCGGTGGTGACGGTGGATTCCGGATGAACATGCTGTTGAGCATGAACATATGTCGAGGAGGACAGTTTGATTTCGTTTGTTTTCGGGACATTCTGCTAGGAAGATGTCCTTTGTTTCCTTGCAGTTTCCGCCTTGAATAATATTCAGTTTGATCTCCACCTTTTTGAGATACGGCATTAGGTACTATTATTAAGTTATATACTTCTTATATAACTATTTCCTCTTATTTTCATGGCGTATGGCAGTCTCAAGGCAGAATTCGCGGCAGAATGTGAGCCAATCGTTCACTGTGGTTGGACTCTGTGGCGTCATCTGCCAGGCGGCATTCCTTTCGAAGGAATGCATATTCTGTGACGTTCACAAATAAATATGGTAGAGCAAGAATCTTTGAATGGAGATTCTTGCTCCTTCAAGGAAATAAAATTCCCTTTCTTTGTACAGCGCGAATTCATGCACCGGAACGCGATCGGGAACCGGTCGCCTCTCTTGTCTAGCACAAGCTTTAGTTCTTTGCACTTCTTGCCATATTGTAATTTTAGAAGTCCTATTTCCTGACAAAAGTTTACGGAATCCTCAAACGTTTAAGGGATTTGCAGGGAAAGTTGGTAAAAGTTCACTACTTTGTTGAACGGTATTGGAGATATACCAGTGGTTTCCTTGAGGTCGCAAGTATCGTTTGCCATGAGACGGTCACAAGGGAAGACTAGAGAGACAGACTTGAGTGTGAAAAAAGTTATGGAAGACACGTAATTACAGGTAGTGCGTTTGAAGGATCAAATTTCTCATACTCCGTTCGATGTTATGGTGTCTGGTATTGCTTGTCCTGTTAGAGGCTCTACTGGGAGACAGACGGCATTGGAAAGCGTGTTTGGTGTGATAGAGGGAGGGGAGGCTTGGGAATTGTGTCTAGGATCGAGGGACGTGCTTTTTTTTTTGGAAGATGATTACAATGTGCTACTAGTCCAGACATTTCATTCCCGCGGTAATGTCTGGCGAGAGAGCAGGGATCGATAAGGGATCTTCACGGTTCCCGAAAGTGTTTTTCAGGAGAGGCAAAGGAGTCATAAGGCACACATCTACGCAGGATAGAACTTAATCACATTGAGGAGCCCCTCGAAAAGGTCCACTCCTTCCATGCGGCCCCGATGCCGAAACTCGGCCAGGTGAGTCTGTAGCAGACCTGGTGTCGTTCCCTTCCGGTTTCGTTGAATAAATCTGCGAACCTCCACCCAGCAGCGCTCGATGTTTTGGGTGTGAGCACCATTTACGGTGTTCAGGAAGTTCTCGTGATTCACCCACTGATGTAGGTATCCTATGATATAAAATATTGGGGGTGAAAAATTCGCTGATGAACAGTAGAGATAGAGAATACAATTCTACACATTTTTTTTATCCTCACCCATTGTCGGGAGAGCACCATATGCTGCCCACCCTTCAGTCCAAATCTGTGTTCCAGGAACAACATTCTTGGAAATGATAGAGAAAAATGTTTCTCGATCCCTCTTCTCCACCACGAAGCATCGCACATCGATGGTCTTCGTGTGGGGATTGCAGTTTTCCTCGTTGCGATCACGGTCGTCCCTCCTGGCTGTCAGGGCATTGCCCTGACAAGACTCACGGGCCATCGATGGTGTGTCCACGATTCCTCCCCAGGTTCATGAATGTCCCCCCGGTTGCACTTTCTCTCGCCCCTCAGGAGACATTCGTCCATTTGTACCCCTGTGTCCGGGTCCTCCCATGGCTGGGGAGGAATAAAGCTCATTCAGCAAAATTTCCCTCATGTAAAGCCAATCCACCAGAGTAGGGTTTGGCATTCGGCACTGACGGACAAAATCATAACTATTAACAAATGGAATGTATGCATTCAAAAAATTTTGAAAAGCCATAACCTTTGCAATGCAAGAACCTAATAAATTCGCGCTCACCATGCATTTTCTTCTACTGTTCCTAAAGAATCAGTAGATGCAGCACCTTCCCTGGGCTCATACGGCGTTGAGTCGTCCGTTTCAGGTCCTCATGGACGAAAATGGAACCTTTCAGCGCAGAATGCTCATTCTCGCAACCATCGCATCAGCGGTCATCTTGGTTCTCTTCCCCTGATTCTGTGGGAAATGTTTCAATGGTGCCGATTACGTAATGGTCATAAGCAACATAGTCATCGCTCGTAGTAATGATGTCACTGCAAAATAGTAGACCAAATATCCTCCATTTAAAATATGTTTCAATAATCGTAGAAATGAAATGACTGGTTACAGTTGAAGACTGACCCGAGTCAAAGTTCTCTGTTGCAATAGGGCAAGTCCTCTCGCAGATTGGCGCCATGAGTCTCTTCAGCTGCAGGAACTGTAAAGTAGTTCGTCCGTAGAGAACATACGGTAAAACTCCTGAGGCCTCATGCTTGAAAATTGGACAAAAACAAGAGAGAATTGAGGAAGGGAAAATGTGGTACAAAACAAGACTTACGGTGTAGAAAATGTTGAGGAATAGAGCAGAAAAACAGGACTTAGGGAACGCGATTAACCGTTAACCACGCCTTCTAAAGAGACGGCTGAAGACAATGAGAAAACGGTCATCAAACCACCAGGACAAAAGTATTTAATTGAAGTTAAGTTAAAAAAGAAAGGAAATTTCACAGACAATTAATGTGTTGAGAACTTGAGTAGTCACTGTTTGACTGCGATTGCGGAATAGTGGTAGTCATACTCTGTTATAACGTCATCGAAGGGACCAGGTAAAAACCGTCGTTACAGGCAACGTTATATATATATATATAACATATATAATATAATATATATATATTATATAAAATAAATCCTTCCACGGCAACCTGCCGGTATTGGAGATATGAGGGGGGATGAACCACATCCCA